ACGAAGCATTGAAACTGCATTGAAACTACTTGCACCGATGTTCCGGGAGCAGAATTTCGTTTCCTGAATATGTTTTGCCGACGAAAAAAGATTGAAATTAACTGACATAATGAAAGAATCTTGAAACATGCTAATTAACAGACGAATAAGAATTTTTAGGTTTAATGCTGAAATAGACATTTTAAGTACTGGGTGCTGAAATATTGCAATGTCAAAAATGTGTATAGAATAATTTTTAATGTCTACGTCAAAAGAATAAAACAGTCGTTTTTTAAAACTAGTTATCTAATGTTTAAACAGACAGCAGTGAGAGAGAAACAATGAAAAATGAAGGACAGGAGATAAAGCAACGTATGGAATAACAAGGTTGTTAAGGAAATTTAAACGAAGATGAAACTAATTCAACAAACGAAAGCCGAAAACAAGTTCATTTTTCTTAGGCACCGTCAAGTTCCATAAAAAAAGCGAGAAGATAAAATATGTACGAGATTTTATTACCGATTTATTGACATGAACAGCATAATATTAAGTTCTTTCTTTCATCCAACTTTTCAACTGTCCCAAACCGATTTTCAATGTTTTAAGGACCTAATGAGTACTGGAAAACTGAACGTCTAATATAAATTCTGCAAACAGATTCCTAATATTTACACAATTAGGTAATTCAATACGTCTGTTTCGGGTGATCAAACGTAAGGCAGGCTTTCATGAGCAACCTGACACCTGCGGGCAGAATTAAAATTCCTGTGAAAAGTCGAGCGTTGCGGCTTTTTCAACTAGCCTTTTCCACTAACCACATAAGACTTTTTTTCCGTCCCACACAAAGAAATAAAATTCCCCTCTCCCAGTTGCGGTGCACTCATTCGCGGACAGTGTTTCACAGAGGGGGTTGGAAGCTTTTTAGCCAGGTCACGTGAGCTTTGAACAAGTGCAGTGGGACCAACGGGAAAAAAACACAAAGCTGAACGTCACCACCCGAAATAAAATTTTATTCCACGCTTATTCTGCGAGCGAAATGCGAGTGGATAATGAAGTGTGGTAGATAATTGGCAGTGACGTGGGGAGCTAACCTCATTCAGCAGAACCTTTTTTCTCGTAGGAAATCATGACATTTCAATGTTCCTTCCATTTTTTTCTTTCACTGCGGAGATGGAATTCGCCGGTTTTATTACATCTTTGCCATGGGAATTTTATTTTTCAGTTTATTATTTGGTTTCCAAGTTCGGATTTTATTAACTTCAATGAAATTCTTTGCAACTTTGCGTAATACGAACTGCTCAATATGCTGGAATGCTACCAGAAGAGTGTTAGTAAATTTGATGTAATTTTGTCGTCGAAAATATAATTAGCTTTACTGTTGGTGGAAGTAAATGTTGACTCGAAACTGTAGCGGAGTAGAATTTTTCAGCTGGCTCAAGACTTTGCTAAGCGAAGAGAATTCTTTTACTTTTGGTTTGGAACTGTTTCCATGTAAGCACTTGAGACCTGCGTTACCTTTCGTATCATCGGTAAAACATATTAAACTTCTAAATTAAATACTGCATTTAATATTTTTATAAATCTACATTTTTCGAATGACCCGAGTGATTGGTTGGTACACCATAATGTGGTAATCCTGGCCACGTTGTTGAGGGTTCAAATCTCTAAATGTGATATATCGTTTCTTTGTATTGGGGTTGTTTTCCTCATATGTTCTCTTCTCTGTCACCTTTCTCCTCTTGCTCTCTTCGTCTGTTGCTTCTGTTATTTTCTTTATTGCGTACTCTTCCTCTGTTGCGGCCACTTTGTTTGTTGCGTCCGCTTTCTCTATTACTCTATTTCTTCTGTTGCCCTTTGCATGCTCTTGACATTCTAGTTTAATACGATTCTCTCTGTTCGAGTAAGATGATTTCCTAGTAATATTTATTATGCTTATAGTTTGTTGTGTTTTTTTTGGTCGCGAATTGGTCATCTTCGGACCAAACGAAAGTGCAACAGTTGTACGTAAATTGACACGTTGAACACGTACCCACCGTGGCCCAGTCATATTTTTCTGGGGGTAAGTGCAAGTGACCATTTGGGGGGAGGTGAGCATTAACATGTCAAATCCGTTTTTTACACTCCGTGGTTGTTAACCCTGAGGGGATGCAGTATGAAACGATGGTGATGATGGATGAATGGATATTTACAAAGGTACAAACACACACAAACATCCATGCCTCGGGCGGGATTTGAACCCTTCGCGGCCCCTTGCGCCTCCCTTCTGGCATAAGGCAACTACGGCAGTTGAGCCATGGCAACCTCGGCTATCCGGCTGATTATAATTTTTTTTTCGCGAATCTGCCAATGTGAGACCACGCGATACATTCCTCAGTCATGATTATCGAGGTAGGTACACGTTAGTTTTCTTTCGGTAGGATCCGCATTTAATGCTTTTTTACTCCCCGAGAGTGAAAGCCCTGTGTGAGGGGGTAAAATGATGATGATGATGATGATGTAGACGCACACACATGCATACAGATCACACTCATGATGATGATTATTATTATTTTTATTAATAATAATAATAATATGCAAAAGTATAATAATAATAATAATAATAATAATAATAATAATAATAATATGCAAAAGCCAGTAAATTTGAATAACTTTGCCTATTTCAGAAGCCATCTGAACCTTTCAGTAAACAACCACACCCTGGACATCATTCCCTGTGTGTCGTTACATAACCGACCAGTAATATACTGTGATATGTATGATGATATGTAATATAATAATAATAACATAATAATAATAATAATAATAATGAATAATATTGAGATTGAAGGGATAAGCATATGAAAACGGGCTAGGATAAGATGTTCATGGAGACTTGTATATATTTGTCATTTGTTATTAGTCTGACTTCAATTTTTCAATCGTGTACAAGTAGCGAGTTAACTGCGAATGTTTCCTTCAACAATGGCAGTATACTCTTTTTGTAAGCCGGCAGGTAAATTTTTTATGTATCTCCGCGGAATGGTAAATGGTACAACTCGCTCTCAGACTTTCTACACGAAAATGTCACTGCAAATAAGACAAAACATATGGTTGATGCATTATGGGGCTCCAGCAAATTTTAGTCTCATTGTTCGTGATGCACTGGCTGGTATCTTTCGTGATAGATGGATAGGTAGAGGAGAACCAGCTCCATGGCCTGTTCGTTCTCCTGGTCTCAATCCTTTGGATTTTTGTCTCTGGAGGCATCTTAACCCGCCTCTTTCTGGAGCGTCAGAGCGCGCATGTAGTCTCAGAGACCTTCCGTTTGCAGTTTCCTTTATTCAATGTCTGCTAATAATTTTATATCAAAGGTGTGTACCCGAAAAAAGATGGATATTGCTTTCAATAAAGAGATTATTGGATTGGAGAAGTGGATTGTATGCAAATTTAAAAAAATTGAAACATTGAATTGGCTAAAATATTTTTTTCATTGTATTTGGTATATTTTACATATTGGACCACGTTTATATATTGCAAGCTTTAGAAACTGTTAGCAAATTCTCCAAACAAATAAACTTTTTGCATGTTTCGGACTTATATTTATATATCTGAGTGGTTTACAGCTGGCGATGTTTCTCGGTTCCTCTTTTGCAGCCTTCTCTATTCATTACATCTTCCTCAGTCAGATTCCTTGTGGCCATCGCAGTCAGTATTCCTTGTTTCCATGGTGTTGATGGTCTACCCCGTCGTCTTCTGCACGGAGGTATCCATTTATATACTTCATTAGGCCACCTAAAATCAGATGTCCGCACTATTGAAGCTGTTTTCGTTCTAGAGTATCTATTATATCCCTTTGAATTTCCATTTTCTCTTTTAGTTTTTCATTGCGTAAGTGGTGTAAACGAGATATTCTACAATTTCGTCTCAAAAAGTCCATTTGAATCGTCAATAATATTTTATTTCATATATTTTTCTTTGTTTACTTTGATAACCGGAAGTTCCACAGAATTGGATTTAGCATATTTATGACTCGTTTCCCTTGGTTTATCTTATTATTAATACCATTATTACTTGTACCCTCTTTTGAAACTGTAAAGCCCAAATATTTAAAATTATTACATAATTGTATTTATTATTTCCAATATACAGATCATTTCCATATTATCCTGTTACCATATACCATTGTTTTGAACACATTTATTTTCAATCCCAATATTTCAAATTCCTATTTAATTTTTTTTTTAAAGTCGCGTACTGAACGAAAGCTGTAACACAAGTGCACGCAGGTGGTCCCTAAGGTCTGTTCACCGTTTTGGAATGTCTCATCTTTAGAAACGATAACAACACTTAATTTTTCGTATAAGGTTCGTCGTAAGGTCAACAACTCACATCTGTTGAAGGAAAAGGTAGCTGGAAGCAGCTGTCAAGAGCGACCAAACTGCAATCACAACATTGGAGTAAGGTTTCTCGGCTCTCTCAGACCACTTGTGTGCACTGCCAGGTTAAACAATGGGTTTGTGGAAATTATCTACGAATTAAGGAACTTACCTTCAAATCGTAGAAGCCTGCAAAACCATTCGCCACCATCCTGGAGTATCATGAGACTATCCATGATTCGTTGAGTATATGCGATTTCAGAAACAAGGAGAGGACATTTCGAGAACTTGTTTTGAGTTTTATTTGTTTATGAGTTATTTTGAGAATTCACGACCAAATTCTTTACTACAACAAAGGACTAATACAAAGGATTATGACGCACGCGTTATATGAACTTTTTGTCTCTGTTTCGTATAAAGAGTCCGTGCTCAAATTTGTAAAATTATTTTTTGAATCATCCTGCACGTTAATTATACTGCACATTGAATCTGACAACACAAGTCGGTAACAACTTGATGTAAGGATAAATTTTGATTATAGTTTCTAAATCCATCATACATATGCTAAATATTGCATGTGTTTGGGAACGTTCATAACTTCACACCATTTTGTTTGTTAAATCTTAATAGAGATTTTAAATAATGTACTTTCTTTTTATTTTGCAGGTGGGTAAAGAATCAAGCAATCTGACAGTCTGAAAGGATCATTTCATGGTGAGTAACAAGTTATATGCTGAGATTCAAGGCATCATTCTAGGGCAAGGCACTCTCAGTGTAAACTCATTGTATTGTTTTGTTCTTTGAACAGGATGATATTTGTTTTATTTAGATTTTTACGTGGATGTAATATATGTAACTATAGGATGTGTATTACAGAAAGTATCGAACCGTTGAATCGTGTATTTGGGAAGAAAATAAAACCAAAATAATTAAAATATTCATATTATATATTATTTACATTACATAATCCTAAAAAAATATTTTGTTAAATTAATAACTTGAATTTATCGGCCGCGTCGACTTGTCGGCCGCGTCGCCTTGTCGGACGCGTCGCCTTGTCGGACGCGTCGCCTTGTCGGACCGCGTCGACGCAGTCTTGTCGGACCTGCGTCCGACTTGTCGACGCGTCGAACTTGTCGGACGCGTCGACTTGTCGGCGCGACTGTCGACGTTTGTCGCGACCGTCGACTTGTCGACGGCGTGACTTGTCGACGCGTCGACTTCGGACGGCGTCGACCGACGCTATGTCGACTCCGTCGCGCATACTTGTCGACCTTCGATTGTCCGGACGCGTCGACTTGTCGACGCGTCGACCTTTCGACGCGTCGACTTGTCGCGCGTCGACTTGTCGGACGCGTCGACTTGTCGGACGCGTCGACTTGTCGGACGCGGTGTGACGTAAATTTGTTCTTTCACGATCTAGTGCACTTAATGATGCAGCCTCACGTGCGAGAACCCCACGCTGCAGAAGCAGCGGGCTGCAAAAACGAGGGGGGGGCGCTTGCTAATCGGATTAGGGCGAGTGTTGTGACGTGAAGGGAGGGATGGGGTGGGGGAGTCTTCCTGACGAAGTGCGGGCAGGGTAAACACGCCCATGGTGCCTGCGTGGAAGGAAGGGGGTCTTCCTCCGAATAGAGCCATTATCATAAACCCGCAAAATTTGCCTCGCCCGAGTGGGATTCTGGCGCGGGTGATGGAGTCTTCAGGTGGAGGATTTGAAGTCCCGTTCTCGCAAACATGACACGAAAGCCTTATGTGTTGTGCACGAATAAACATGCGAAAAAGAGATGGGTTCATCGAGTTGTTCATAAAGAAATGTCCGCAAAAGTGAAGAATTTGTTGAGATGTGTACGCTGAAACATAAGCGAAAGAAATGAGCTTATGGAGATGTGCAGGAATAAACATCCGCGGAAGTGATGAGTTTTGAGTTGCGCACAAGGAGAACATCAACAAAAGTAGTTAGTCGGTCCGGATGGCCGAGATAGCTAAGGCATTAATGCCGCAGCGATCACAGACCGAAGGATCGCGGGTTCGAGTCCCGCCTCGGACATGGTTGTGTTGGGTTCGTCCTTTCGCCCCATATCATCACCATATCACGTCATCTTACAACACCGTTACATTCCATAGTGGTCGCTAATGACCTAGACGTTGATGCGACCTTAAATAACAAAAAGAAAACCAAGTAGTGAGTTTACTGAGTTGTGCATGAGTTTATCCAGTATGTCACGAAAACATTCGAAGAAGTGTTGAGTTTATTGAGTTGTGCATGAAGAAACTTGCGCAAAGGCGACGAGTATGTAAGTGAGTTATGGACAAAGACACACAAAAGTCTCTTGAATTGCCCAAATCAGCATCTGCAAACGTAATGAGTTTATGGAGGTGGGTAGGAAAAACATTCGCAAACAGTGACGAGTTTATTGAGTTGTGCACGAAGAGGAATCCGCAATATTAATAACTTAATAATGTGACAATGTTAGTGAGAAGCGCTGTAAAAGACGCGGTTACGACTTTGCAATGTAACCATAATTTTAATAATTCAAAAGAATCTAATGAAACATGAAATGAACATATACTTTCAATGTTCGGAAATTCGAGAACTTCTTCGTATACAGATAGTAAGATGGGAAAACTGTTTTTCTGCATTGGTGTTTGCACGGTTCTTGTTTATTGGAAGCAATTTTTTTAAAATTAAACCGATCCCTTGATTAGAAATTAAGTCTAAGAGTATTAGGTTGAATGCCTAATCGTAATTTTTTTGTCTAATGACAAAAGGTTCACGAAAACACGTCAATAATAATATTCTAATTATTATTAATAATGTCTGATAGAATGTTGTCCAATTGTCAAAGCCATCTAATCAATTTCGGATCAACAGGCATGAATGTGTTATCTATTATAACCAAACCAAAATACACAATGTTAACATCATCATGTCAGTAAAGTATTTTATCAAATTGTAAACGACAATATAGAGTGCTATGCTAAAATTCACTACCTTACAAAAAATATAATAAGAAAAAAATATTGACATAATCATCCATTTGTCGGAGCCATGAATATTAATCGATAGCTCAATGACCTCAGGTACGTTGATACCTCTACGATTTTTATAACTTTTGTAGTATGCTACGAATCGCTCTACTTGTCTTTGATCAATTTGGGAGGACTTCGTAATTGTGTGTTGTACTCGAACATACAATAAAGACTTCGTTGGCCTCACAAAGACTTCGTTAATCATCAAAACGTCGCTATTTTTCAAATTTAATAAAAGATTATTGTGTCATATGTGCAATATCAAATTTCTGAATTTGTTTGTCGAAAACTAGTCAAAACGTTTTATATTTTATGAGAAAACAAAGTTTAATAATGATAATGTAATGCAATTACGAAATGGGGAGTAAAAAAATTGAATGGCAGAGGGAGGGTTTCTACAGCAAAGCAAACAAAAAGCGTACGCCGGTCTCTTAATCTTCTATCACACGCATTTCCCAAGCCGAGCAGCCAACGCCGATCCCACGCCAACTCGCGAACACTCGCCCACACAGAGGCTCCGCTCCACACGAAAGCCCGCGCGCGAAAAACATCTGCCGGCGCGAAAGAAGCTTAACCTCCGCCCTCTAAACCGGCGGACGCGGCGTCCAGCGATGCGCGAGGTGGAAATCGCCAACTCTCACCTCCCCTCTCTGACCCGCCCAGCACCCTCTCGCCCCTGCACGCTCCACCCTGCTCCACCCCACCCCGGTCCCGGCCCAGCCCCGGGCCCGCCCCGGCCCCCGCCCCGGGCCCGCCCCGCCCCGCCCCGGTCTCGCCCCCGACCCCGGCCCGCCCCGCTCCGCTCCGCCCCCGCTCCGCCCCGGCTCCCGCTCCCGCCCCGCTCCGCCTCCGCTCCGCCCGCCCCGCTCCCGCCCGCCTCCCTCCGCCCCGGCTCCGCCCCCCCGCTCCCGCCCGCCCCGCCCCACGCTTCCGACCCTCCATGATCCCGTTCCCACCCACCCTCACCCGCCCTACCACTCAACCAAACCCCCTCTCTACCCACCCATCTCCACCCCTCCCACTTTATCCACGCGTTGCCTACCAGCCAACCCCCACCCCTCTCTGCCCACCCCTCACCCCTCTCCACCCACCACTCCTCGTCCCCTCCCACTTCCACGCCTCACCCTGCAACGCCGTTTCTCTCCCAAATATCTCCCCACCACGCTCCTCCCCACCCTGCCTCGTCTCTTCCTTCCTTTCCCTTATATTCCCCGCGGCACCCCGCCACCCTCACCGCTCCGCCCTGCTCTGTTCTGCTCGGCACCGCCCCGCCATGCCCTTCCCCCTGCACGTTCCGATTCGGCGGCCGAGTCGGCTAAGAAAAGTTGTGCGCGAGCTTTCGGCAGAACGCCGGTGATCGGTCCATCCAAACTTTCCTTTGCTTTCCGCCAACTACTGTGTTCGTCTGTAGCAATGGCGCTGAGCTTTTTTTTCAGTGTCGTTCGATGTTTGAGGGCTTCACATACATGTGTGCATATGTGTGTGCTGCATATAATGGTTAGTCGTGGGGTGAATATTACCAACATTATGTGTGTTAGTTATTTTGTATTAGTTTTAGAGACAAAGAAATACTAATTGTACCCATCCTTTATAGTCGAGATCACAAATGCTGAAAGGCCGTAGCTTCTTCGTGCTTGGAAGGTCACACCAATTCAAGAAGTAAGCTTCCGTGTTAACCCCCGATATTTGTAGTGTTGTGCATGAAAATGTATGAGAGAAGAAAGGATATGAAGAGGAATCGCATGCTCCGTGGCCCGTTTGTAAAGGAACTACTCCAGCATTTGCGTGGTATTTATAGATGAAACCACGGAAAACTACAGATCAGAGCAGCCGGCCGCTAGAGGTCTCCACCAGATAGCTCCTGAATTCGATTCATCTGTGTAACTAGTGTCAAAAACCCGCCACTGCCGGGACTCGAACCCTAAAACTGTAAGAGATGTTGCAGCGTCGGCGGTAATGCTGGTACTGAGGTAAACTCGTCTGGTTTCTTCTTCTTCTTCTTCTTCTTCTTCTTCTTCTTCTTCTTCTCCCTCAAGCATTAGACCGGTTGGTCTGTTGCGCCTCCTTGATCTAACCATGGTCCGGTTTCAATTTTCTTATATTTATCAACTTACGTCTTCACCTTGTAAACCGGTGAAAACGCGATCTGGTTTATGGAAGACCTGCGATGGGGTTAATAATTGAAACATATTCTCAAATCTGTAGTATTTAATTAATTAAAAATAGTACCTTGTGGCGGACAGATTTGCTCAGAACATGGCTACGGGTGCATCCATTGTGTCCAGGACTGAGGGGGTGTAGTCTTCTAGTAGAGAGCAAATCTTGGGATTTCGTGAGCTCCTTTGCACATTGCATCGCTACATTTACCGCAGGGACCACGCAACGGAAGGGAATGGCCTCGCCGCATATCACCCTCGTTTAGATTACGGAAACTAGCAGTCGGCGTGTGTCTTTAAAACTCTTAATTTCTCGAAAATTTTGTTATGTAACATATGGCAATATGCATATTTAGGAATTCGTCTCTTTACGCGTGTTATGATTAGCAAAAAAATCTACAGGGTTCCATTTAAAAAATCGAAGTTGGGTCAGTATCCCTGCAATAAAAAAATGGAATAGAATAATATTATACATGACCATATCTGCCCCTTGCATATAGTAGTTTTAGTGAAAACCGTATTTCAGTATCTGCAACGGTTCAGGAGAAAATTGAAGGCAACATCTTTGGTGGGCCTCACGGTGTAAGTAGTTATTGGAATGAGCTATTTAATTCTTAATTGTCCGCCATGG